AGTGGTATGTGTGGATTCCAGGAGGGGCCGGTGGTATGTGTGGACCCCAGGAACCAAAATTTCTCTTATCTGGGTGAACATTCAGATGTGGTTATTCTTTAACTTAGCTGGGCCTGGCAGTTATTTTTGGCGGGTCTCGTGGGCTTCTTTTTCTTTAGGGAAGAGAAGGGTGCCCGCCACCAGCCTTACACCAACAGCCTTGCATGTTTCTGTTCCAGTCACTCTCTGGATGCACCAAAGTTGTGTTGCCGTACCAGTTACCACTCCTTTGTCATCTTTTTATCTTTCAATATTAAAAATCATCTGCTGTCAATTCTTTTTCGTGGTCTTGTATATAACCTTTATTTTGTGCCTTTAATTCTAATGAATTTCAGGAGGGAGAGAAAATAAATTTATGGTCCACCCATTAAACCCAAATTTAGAAGCTATATTTAAAGTATAAATCTAAGTTTAAATTCAATATAATTAATAATACTAGTTCAGACAATTTTTAGTTTTCCTATAATAATCATGTTACACTTTTCTACTAAGCTCTCATTTAGTAATCGAATTCCAGCTCTGCACCCTGCCGTATTGCTCCATCACTGTGCAACACACATGGAGCTTTTTTCAATAGTGCACAGTGTTAGGTATCTTTAAGTGAATGAGAAGTCATCAATTCTTTAAAAAAAAAAAAAAATCCAAAGCTTGTCTTGTAAAAAAAGCCAGAGAAAAAGTTTAGTTCACTTTTATTTTTTTAATGGGTTTAAAGTCAGAGACAGTAGGCGCAATGGAAAAAGTCAGTGGGTGGGGACAGGATTTCAGCGGGTACTTGACTTTTCATGGTAAGGTTTGGGTTGTGAAATAACTGAAAAAAACGAAAGGGTGTTAGATGGTGTGGATATTTCTTATTATCAGTTACTGGTATGTTTTAAATGCTGTGTACTTTTAAATGCAGCAATTAGATCTTCTCCCTGCCCTGTCTTTCATGTATTTGTGGGGGATACTGATAGGAGAATGTGACAACATGTTAAAAAACTATCATATTAATAGAAAGAAAGAATACTCATCTGAATTAGTTTTTTAAATGCATTAAAATCATTGGTACTGTGTGGTTTTAAAGAATGCTGTTGTTTCTTCCAACTATCCAGTGACTGATATTTGATTGTTGATTTTATTTTTAAGGAAGGGAACTGTCTTAATATTGTTTAGGATATTTCATTATTTGACTGTTGCATTCTTTGCAACTAAATGGATACTTATAAAGTGTTTTAAACATAGTTTATTTTCTAGAGGTCTCTGATATCATTGCAGGTAAATTCTCACTAATTTGTGTCTATAGCAAGATTTGCTTTCCAAATTGTAACTGATTTTAAATAATAATTTGTTAAACACTTGTTCTCACTAATTTGTCCAAAATTCTGTGCTCAGCAGCTGGAGGTAGAAGGAGTAAGAGTCCCACCTACCATGTAGAAGCTTGGGTTTTTATGAGGGGGCTATCCTGCCAGCAACTGTTACCATGTAACAAATGGTGAAATAAACATATGAGTGTACACAAAGGAAAGAGTTTTGTGGTGTGGAGGCTGGCAAAGGCATCCTGGAAGGTAGATTGGTCCAGCTTGCTGGGACAGGAGGAAGGAAAAGGCATTCCAGCCAGAGAGCAGCAAGAGTGAGGCAGGAAAGTGCCACGATGTATGTCAAATAGCTTATAGAATCAAATTAATAAAATTTTGAAATGAGTGGAAGGTACTCTCTAAGGTTCTCATTTGAGTAATATAATGGCAGTCTTATTTAAATATGAAGTGAAAGTTAAACTACCAAAGTTTTTTTTGTCCTCCATTCTTTGGCTATGAGGGTCTTAAAGTAATATTTTTATCTTCCACATAAGAAAGCATGTCCAGGGAGACCTACAGCCCCCTCATTTGTTGGTGATCGAGCAGCCCTGGCGCAAAGGGCCTCTGTCTCTAAAGCATTTGTTTCCTCACACTGTCTCCTCAACTAATACATTTAGTGTGAGTAAATCAGTAAACTTTATATTAGGCTTTAATTTACTGCAATAAATTTCCCTTATCCCAATATCATTGAAGGCATTACATTTTACTGTGGTAAAGAAATAATAAAATCTCAGCTTTTTATTGCTTAAGAAAAAAATAAACACTGAACTCTTATTTTAAACTTTGAAAATTATTTATAAATGGAACTCACAATAGATTCTTTCCAGATTTGACTATAGGTATTATATCAAGGGCCGCATTTTATAACCATTCTTCAAACACTGTGTGTGGAAGTTAAGAGCCTTTAGTGGGTTTCCTCTAGAGCCACATATAGATACCACACAGGCAGTTTATGGAGTATAAGAAATATCTTAATGCTTTATCACTTGACATTTCAACCAAAGAAGAAAACACACTTTTATAGGTTTAACTTACTGTGACATTTTCTTCTGTTTCTTTTTCCCTTCAGGTATCTCTGGGGCAGCTTACTAGAAAGGACAGCTCATGCTCAATGATGTTTCTAGAAAACAACACAGTCAACCAGCCTAACCGTAGAACAACAGTAAAATAGTGAGTACGACTAGGCTGCCAAGGGCAGAGCGACAGACCCCCGTATGCAAAAAGCATCCCAGCCATTTGGGATGTCATTTCAGCCATTTGGCTGTCCTTTTTTGGGGATCAGTTTGAGAAATTGATATCAACTATATATTAATTTCAAGGGCCAAAGTATGAATTTTCAATTTCTGTTTTAATCTTAGACTGCGTAGGGGAAGGGGAAGCCAGTTACCAAATAAGCAATCCAAGAAAAAGTGTAGCTCTTTATCTGATGCATTTATCTTAAGACAATATTGAGCATAATGAAAAGGAGTTTTTTTATTGGAAGTTTCTGAAGAAAAAATAGTTCTTTATGAGTTACAGGCCTAAAATAATGTATACTACTTTGGAAACTATTCTTGGAAAAAGGAACAGCTTGTCTTATGTTGGCACCAAAATGTATCTGCATTGAAATATACCTAATCATGCATGAGTGCCTTTGAGGTGTACAATCACAGATATACTTTCAAAACGCCCTAAGATGAACCATTCAAGTTTATTTAAAAAGCATTAACAACAACAAAATAAGCTCCATTGGGTTGTCCTTTGAACATTATTAACATGTTGGATTACAAGTGTTGATTTTCAGAACACAGTTTGGAAAATGCTACTTTAGAATATTAATGTCCTTATTCCCACTTTTTTGGTTAAAAATATAACTAGCTTATAAACTTAATTTTGTTTCTAATGTACTAGTTTTTTAGCTAACTAAATTATAACTTCTACATTTAATTAAAAATTGCAAGTGTACATTCATAATAATGTCACTTTCCTCTTTCACTTATAACAATAGTCACGATCAAATTGTGCTTCAGATAAAACTGGACCCTGCCTCTGCCCAAAGTCATGGGTTTTGGTACCTATTAAGTAATCACTAAATGCTTTTATTCAGACCTTCCTAAATCTATGAGTAAAAAACCACTCTACTTTGGCTCGAGTCCCAGCTTTTTTTGAATTCAGATGATTCTGATGTTTCCATATGTAATACAAAAGTAGTTTTAAAGATTAACCTTGCTCAAACAAGTACATTTTATGCCTTTTCCCCTCCTAACTTAGTCTAATTTTTAGAAGTCTCCCTTTGGAAGTACAATAAGTTTTAATTTGCTATCATTAAGTTTTACAAATGATCATATGGCATATTCACTATTGGTGAAAGAAAGGTTTCTTGAGCAAATTAATAGGGAAAATTGGCTTTTAGAAAGATTTTGAAAAACGTGTCATGGGGTTGTAGTGCACGTTCTCAGTGGGAGAGGTGAGCCATTAGAGTCACTTGTGCAACTTTTTCCCAATACATATCTGCAAACATGCATCTTCCCACCTCCACCTTCCCTCCATGTCTAGGCACTCACAAGCCTCTTAGGAAAATGGGGAAGAATGTGGGGCATAATGACATGAACAAAAGCATCCCAGGTGATTGTGATCTCAACCCTAACGCAATCATTCCCAAGCTTTGCTGTGCATTGGAGTCACCTGGGAACTTTAAAAACAATTCTGATGCCCAAGTCATA